TGTGTGGTGATATTATAAGTCACCATTTTAACATTGCCCTGAGTCGTTTTTATTCTTTCCCTATCTGAGCCGAGAACTTCATCTTGCAGCTGCAGGTGCCCGACAGAAAATTGTCAATTCGACAGAAAATCTTCAAAAAACAAACAGCATAGGAAGATTGCAGTTGATGAGCTCAACCTGAAGGCGCTGAGAAAGATGTTTAAAACCTTGCACAAGCTGAGGCCACAGGCGCTCTCTTTCCGTAGAATCCATGCCTTCAAGTTTGCTCATGGCCTCTGCCCACATTATCTACCACCAAAACAAGCAATACAAAACTAAGAAACTGATTAAGAAGTGCAAATTTCCATGATAGAGAAGATTCTCACATCTGATACAGCTGCAGGCTTGAGCCGGTACTGTGGTTCAGTCACGCTGAACAAAAGATGCTGCAGGCAAATGGTAAAACAGCACTTTACATACACAGAAACAAGCAGAGAAATCAGAATTTTCCAACGAAACTAACCTTAAAAGCATACTTGGTATTCGTCGGATCTTCCTTGTAGGCTTCAACGATGGCCTAAATCAAAAGCGAGCAAGAGACACAGGGCTTAGGATTTCTAGATCTGGAACTACAAGGAAGCAAGGGAGTTGTTATCAAGAATGGAACCTGGACGTCACGATCGGCGAGAGAGAAAGGGATAGGAGCAACGGGGGCCATCTGAGTAGTCAATTGCGCATTAGGGAATGGCGTCTGCTGTGCCGTGTTGAACGGACCAAAACCAGAAGATGCCGGTTGCTGGAACAGTGAGTTCGGCTGTTGTTGGGATGAGAAGGGTGTAGAGAAAAGCGAGGAGCCAAATCCGCCCGAGGAGAAGGAAGGTATCGACGGCGTTCCGAAAGCCGGCGTGGATGACGGTGTACCAAACGCCGGGGAAGACGAAGATGTTCCAAAGGCGGGCGTTGACGACGGAGTGCCGAACGCCGACGAAGAAGAGGGAGTGCCGAACATTGGGATATGAAGAAGCTAGATCTCT